AGAAGAGGTGCTGAACAGACGTGATAATGAACGACAAGGTCCAAATCTCGTGCAATGAGGAGGAAGCATGGCGGGAAGGTGTCGCCAAGCACACCCAAACAAACGAACCTTTTGGTTCAGACTCGCCAAGTAGTCGACCATCCCAACTTTGTCTCAACTGCCTATACCTAGCCTTAATCTTGATGCCTGCAGTGAGGCCATCCAAGTTTTTATTCTCGTCTCGGCCTAATTTCACCCCAGCGGGCCCTCTAGCTTACTGACACTGATTTGAATGATCGGGTCATTCTTCCCTCAACCAGCCTCAATTTGTGTCCAACTCAAATGCCCAAAAATAATTGACATCGAGCTAGCTAATTATCTCCTGATGGTCAGGTACTACTAGACAAAGTACCGATTGGGTCTTCTAGGCTGTCATCACTTCTTGCTCCCCTTCCCTGCTGGTGCTTTAGCTGGTGGCTTGGAACCAGATGCATGCGCTGGAGGGGCCGAAGGCCCACTATGAGGCGCTTTCGCTGGAGGAGGGGCGGGACGGGCCACTCCACCTTTGGCGGCGTGAGGAGCGGGGCGTACTGGCGCATGACTCGTCGTATGTGTCCCCATGCGGCCAGGAGCTTCGTGCGCACGTCCTGAACCTTTGCCCTTCTTTGCAGGGCCGAAATCTTTCTCGAATTTGGCAAGATTCGCAGCAGCCTTTTGGTCCTTCGGCGTCGCCGGAGGAGCGTGTTGCGCCTGCGAGGCTGCATGCTTCTGCTTCTCGTCTGCGGCCTCCTTCTCGTTGACCTGCTTCATGTGGTGCTCGAGATTCTGAGGGCGGGGGGGCTGTCTTTGCTCGGCGCCCGGTAGATGACCAGGAGCACCTGCGTGTGAAGGGCCCCGCCCTCCTGTCGAGGGATGCCAGACATGACCTGCAGGTGATACTTGTCCTGGTCGCAGGTTGTTTGGGGCATCCTTGGGCTTCTTCTCTTTCGGTGGAGGTGGGAGAGGGGGAGCATCTTTACCGGGACGTTTGCGTAGGGTCATCCCACTCCCCTGCAGCGTAGGGGTGTATCCCTTACCGAGTTGATGGTCTGAAACAGGTGCAGCCTTTTTGTTTTTCGCATTCTTGATGTCGCTGGAGGTGGGGCGGACTGTCTGGGTTCCCAGACGCGCGGGTGCTTCGTGACCACGTTGTTGATCAGGATGGAGAGGAAGCCAACCGGGGTTGGGTCGTAGTTGCCCTTTGCCGCTCGTGCCCAATTCCTGGATCTTTTTCTTGAACGAACTGGCGTGGCTACCCTCCTTATCTATCATAAAGGGAATATCAGCACTCTGCCAAGCGAAACAGGCATCTATAGACTCACTCGACTCGTGTTTGTCAAGATACTCGACAGTGGTAGATGTGGAATGGTGCGGGTTTTTCAACATGGCGGGCATCTTCTCGTCCCTTACTCTCTCGCTTCCAGTGACTGGATGGGCGTTTGGTGCTGGGATGTTGCGCAATGCATCATTCCGGTTCCGAGGACTATCGTTCGAGAGGGACATCGGATTACGATTCTTGGGAAACTCCTTCTGATTTCTTTGAAGATGGCCCATATGTTCTGGAAGCTTGTCGTCACCATAATGAAGGGTCACAACACTGCCATCACTGTGTGAACCAGTACGACCAGGCAGAGGTACCTTAGGGTTATGCTCGGGAGTGGGGGTATTCGGCCGACTGGAAGGAGGAGTGACGGCGCGACCCTCCACCTTCTTTACGGACTTGTCATTGCCGCCCTTTGGAATTGGACTAGCGGCACCAAAGGAAACCAGGAAACAAAAAAGCGCTAAGAGAGCGTACTGTCTCATCGTCACAGACGATTCGAAGTTCGGGGGCGGAACAATATATGGGAAAGAGGGTATCGACCAGCGATACCGACTTGAGGGAGCAGACGATGAAAGGCGAAGTGCGATTGAGGCAATTGCTTCATCTCAGAGGCATTTTATAGATCAGACCAACGTCCGGCGAAGACGTACTGGACTCAGTGAAATGAAGACGGCGGGCCTCGGTCGAGGAATTGAACAGGAAATCATGTAGTCCTGAACACACACCATCAAGGTACTTGCGCCCGGTCCCCGCCGTCTACCGAAGGGCTTACACTGATGCATTGCTAACAGCATTGGTCGCTAGACCCTGTGGTCTAGCCATCGACCCCTGTCAGCATCGACCCATTGCATGGAAAAGGCAGCGGGCTCGCTCGGGGGAATCTGGACATTGCTATCACGATGCGGTCTTCTCTGGACACGCACCATCGCCATACTTGCGCCCCCCGATCTACTCTAGTCGAGGAACTCGTTGGTTGCTGTTAATTGTCGACCGGCTGGATCTAAACATGCATCCGTGTCAGCCCATCGATCTCCATCGGTCCATAGACGATAGAAGGAAGGTCTTCTTCGTTATTCGGTCGGCGTGATTGATCTACGGGCAATTGAGGACTCACATGCCATGACGACCCTCCCGCGTTGGCAAATGCATCCACTTTCTAGGTTAGCTCCCTTCGCTCGTTCGTGCTTCACACTGGCATGACGCACCCTTGCCTCAAATTGGGAGGCTAATTTCAGAGACCTTGCAGCTGCTTGGTGCTCAGTCGAGGCTGTTGGAATCAGATGGATTTTTCTTCTGCGAGAGAAGGTTGGTTGAGGATCCCGGACACGTTTGGTTCCGTGATCATCGCGAGACTCGGATTTGAGTTTAATCTCGAGTCTTATAAAGAGATAGATCGATACAGCTCCATCCTCAACACCTGTCGACGCTATGAACGACTATCACACAAGATGTCCAGTGTTCTGCATAGCGGATATCCCTGCCTCTGTAACTGTTCACCGATCTTGGCGAGGTTCATGTTTGTGCTAACTTTCTCTTTAGACGTTAAACCTTCTCTTGGAATGCTCGGAGGAATATATGCGAGAATTCAGTGGCGACGAGCTAGACATATCCCAGGACATCGTGATCATGAACACCAAAGAGATCTCGAGCATTTCGAAAGGATCCTCTCTTCCTGTTGACTCATCTCCCACTGCCTTCGTGGGTCATACTGTCTGGGAGATCAGGGACTGGTTCGATGCCAATATCACCCAGCCCAGACGGAAAGGGTTCATGCGATACTGGTTCTTGGTGCTTGACGCGCAAAGCATCGAGGATGAAACCTGCCTTTTCGTGTGCACGCTGGACGTTCCCATGCAGTCACTGCGCTGCGACTTCGACGTAGCTCTGCAGAACGCAGTGCTCTGCGAGGTTAATGGTGACTCATTTGAAACGTCGGATGACTTGGTGGGATCCTACACGAGGAATGGGTGACTATGACGAAGGCAAACCTGCAATTGGCGTGGGATGGAGGACTGTATATTGAAGGGGGCGAGGTCAAGCTAGATCAAGCATGGAGGGCTTTTTCCCGGTAGTAATCTGATAAGCACTGCGCTGCAACTTTAACGTAGCTCTGCAGAACGCAGTGCTTTGCGACATCAATGGAGACTCGATCGAATTGGAAGGCTTGATGGGGTGCTACATGAGGAGTGGGGTTATTATGACGAAGGCAACTATGAAATTAGTGTGCGATGGAGGACTGTATATTGAAGGGGGCGAGGTCAAGCTAGATCAAGAATGGAGGGACTTTTCCAATTGGTAATCTGATATTTAGCTTTGGTGTTCGGGTTGGACACTCGATTAATGGGCAAATGAGGACCCCACATGCCAAGACGACCTTCTCGCGTTGGCAAATGCATCCTTGCAAGGTTTGCCCCCTTCGCTCGTTCGCGTTCCCCATGACGCCCTTGCCTCAACGGGGAGACTCGTTTCAGAGACATTGCAGCTGCTTGGTGCTCAGTTGAGGTTGTTAAAATCAGATGGATTTTTCTTCTGCGAGAAATGGTTTGTTGTGGATCCTGAACGAATCCTGAACATTCGGTTCCGTGATCATCGCGAGACTCGGATTTGAGTTCAAACTCGAGTCTTCTAATTATATAAAGACATAGATCGATACATCTTCATTCTCAACACCTATCGACGCTATGAACGACTCCCGCACAAGATGCCCAGTGTTCTGCATAGCAGATATCCCTACCTCTGTAACCGTTCACCAATCTCGGCGAGGTCCATGTTTGTGCTAACTTTCTGGTTAGACGTTAAACCTTCTATTGGAATGCTCGGTAGAATATAAGCAACAATTCGAAGGCGACGACTTAGACATATCCGAGCACATCGTGATCATAAACAGCAAGGAGATCTCGAGTATCTCGAAAGGATCCTCTCTTCCTGTTGACTCATCTCCCACTGCCTTCGTGGGGCATACTGTCCAGGAGATCAGGGATTGGTTCGATGCCAATATCACCCAGCCCAAACGGAAAGGGTTCATGCGATACTGGTTCTTGGTGCTTGACGCGCAAAGCATCGAGGATGAAAGCTGTCTTTTCGTGTGCACGCTGGACGGTCCCATGCAGTCACTGCGGTGCGACTTCGACGTAGCTCTGCAGAACGCGGTGCTCTGCGAAGTTAATGGTGACTCGATTGAATCGTCGGATCACTTGATGGGATCCTACATGAGGAGTGGGGTGATTATGACGAAGGCCAATCTGAAACTGGCGTGCGATGGAGGACTGTATATGGACAGGGGCGAGGTCTTGCTAAATCAAGCATGGCGGGACTTTTCCAACTGGTAATATCATACTTAGCCTGGGCGCTCGGGTTGTACACCCGTGGACTGGTAATTTGGTGATGATACAGGGTCGATGGCGTAGCTGGCTATCGTATCTGTGCAACAAAATGGAAGAGGCCCTCGAGGCTCCAGTGAACTCGTTCAGGCGCGAGTCGGACGAGCGTTGCACTGAATTTTTAACCAGTTTTTTTCGCCCGAGTCCTTCAGCTTTGCAGCGCTGGCAGTGGCGCCGAAAGAACACTGGTCCACCGTCCATGCGTCCTCTCTGAACTTTGAAGCCTCTAATGTGTTTTACATACGCAAAATGAATAAAAATAGGATTCATTCATCCCATGAGTCGACCCAGGTTCGAACTGAGGACCTCCTGTGCACATGTAGCGAAGCCGGCAGTCACCAATGTGAGACAGATGCGATAACCAACTACGCCATCGACCCATGGTAGTCGCCGTCAAGGCGGTATACCGCATAGACTATAGAGAGACTTTGAGAGAGACTACAGCGACCAGTGTTTGTCAGCATCGAGTAGTACAAACACTGGGTGATCTGTGTTGACTCGCCAACGTCGCTTTCATCTCCTCCACCATGTCCCGCCTATAAATCCCTCAAAGTAACGCTTTCTTCATCCAACAATGATCCCTCGAATACCACTCTAGACCAGTCACAACAACTCGTTCACAACTCAGCTGCTCATGTTCGGAGAGTCAGAATCTGAAAGCCCTCGCGTTCCCAGCCCATGGGACTCTCTCATCTCCATACCACCCTCTCCCACCCGCTCATCCAACACCTCTCCCAGCCCCCTCAGCATCGAGCTAATCCCCCGCCTCGTCCCCGAGGCGGACGAAGGCAACGTCGAGTACAAGCTCCAACTCCTTTCGCCCTCCCCCGCCCGCTTTGCACGACTCGTTACCCAGCTCAAATGGCGGCTACTCGAAGGCGGGGGCCAGGCCTATTACGAACTCGGTGTAGCCGATTCTGGTGCACTCGTAGGCCTCCCACGTGCTGAGCTCGAGCAGAGCTTGGAGACACTCGAGATGATGGCCGGAGAGATCGGCGCAAGCGTCATCGTCGTCAAAGAGATCGAGGTCCCTGCAGTTATGGCCGGTCTCGCAGCATCCCAGACCGATAAGTGGAATGGCGAGCGCAAACGGCGTGGTGTCCCACCAGGCTCTGAAGGGTCGTCCACTGCCGTCCTGGCTACCACGAGCACCACCGAGACCGAGACGGAGCTATCTACGACAGATTTCGACGACGAGGATATCGAGGACATGTCCACCACTATCGTCCTCGAGAGACAGCGGACCAGCACAGTTCCTTATCGTCCCTCCCCCAGCTCGTCATCATCCTGGTCCCTAGTTTCGATGGACCCCGACGTAGATCCAGATCCTGCAGACAACGCCGATGCCGAGCCCGACGACGATCCCGTCTCCCAGCCACCATCCTACATCGCCATCGACCTCGAGATCGCCTCCGTCTTCAAGCCCCGACCCATGCGCGCCCGCATGCAAATGCACGCGCACTCCCACTACGTAGGGCCAGTCAAAGCCAAGCGGCTGAAACGCATCAAGCATATCACGCACCCCAATTCCACGTCCGACTCCGAGCAGCAGGACCATCCCCATGCACATGCGAAAGGGAAGGAGCACGCACATGCGCACGGTCGTGATCCACTCAACCCTGCAACGAAGGCGAGCACCCGTCGCCAGATGCGCGATCGCAGACGCGAAGAGAAAAGGAAGGCACTGCTTGAATACGCCACTACCTCCCTCTCGCCAGAGCCCTCCGTCTCCCCGTCCCCGTCCCCCGGCCCAGTGCCTTTCACCGCCGAAGAGAAACGCAGCCATGACCCCACTCCCGAAGAAACGTCTACCCTCGTGAAGGGGCTTGCCGCACTGCACGTATCCCTCGACGATCCCGCCCCTACATCAACCTCCTCCTCCAATGCCGAAGCGCCGCTGGTCCTCGACGATGAAGACAACGAGGAGGGCGACGACGATGTGTTTGCGTCCCCGCCAGCGAGTGCGCTGCCCAGAGGAAAGTCGAGGGAGGTTGGAGCAGGACAGGCGCAGAGCCGGCTTATTGTCGAAGCACTAGTGGTGCGCAAGATGTCACTTGACGAGGCGTTTCTCGACTTTGGAGGCTTCGCGCTAATGTGAAGGACATATTACATCTCATAACTAGTCACCCGGCTATCCGTCCATCTATATATTTATTCTGGTACCTGTCTCCTTTTCTTGTTTTGTTTTGAGCGTGTATTCATATGTACAACCGTACGTGTACGAATAATGTACCTAGGCGTTGTATATGATACTGTAAATCATAATAGATCCTGTTCTAATAATCCCGGTGCTGCTTTTTTCCGCTGTCTGGTGAGTGATCACTTGAGCCGTAGCTCAACGGAGGTATCTTACCGGAGCCATCTTCGGTGCGAGCTCATCCTGACATTGGTTAAAGTTTGCCGCGTTCCGGGTCACGTTCAGGGGCGGTAAGACAAGTGGCTCAGTTATGGCCCGAAACGTACCCCGAGTGCGCCACCACTGATCAAGGATCATACAGTATTCTATATGTAGTATCCGACAGCTGGCCGCCGGTATTCTTAGCTAATGTGTCACAAATGCCAGGATGAATGGGGGAAAATTCGCATTTCAGCTTCTTCTTAATATTTTGTAAGGTCAGTATTGATGTGAAATGTGTTCAAAACATATGGGTATGGGAAGAGAAACTGAACGTACACGCCATATGGCATTCGTACTCTGACCACTGCTTGGTCCTGCATGTTTCGGACCAATTTGGCGTCCCAGCAGCAAGTCAAGTCTCTAAAAAGACACACCATTTCCATCAGTGTCCACTATTGCCATTTTGCCCCGGACTCCGTTCTGCACGGATGCCATAGTCTCCCCCCTGACGAAGGGTGTCCATACATCAAAATACGCAAGATGTATCACTGCAGCAGCCCAGATGTGTATTACAAGGACCGGAAACGCAGGCTGCTCGGCGCAAACGGCTTCCCCTTCTTCCAACGAATGGGTAAATGAGGCAAACGTCTGTCACCTTGATAGGATATCCCAGAAGCCGTTTGGCGATACAACCGCTGAATTCGGGAGCCTACGTGGAATCTCGGCCGATAGCTTTCCCCCAGTGTGAAGGTCTTCTCGACCAGCTATTCGACATTCTGGTCGTTGGTTTCATCGTGGACGATCACACATACGGCGATGACTGCTGTTTCTATAGGCAGCGATCGGGGCTTGACATGGTGGTGGATGAGGACAAGGCGATGACGAGGTTTACAAATTACATGACGGGATGTGATCATTCTCACGTGGGTGTGACATGTCGTGCTGTGAGGGAAGCGTGACCAAGAGGTAACGGTTCAATCACAAGTTGGTAGAGATCACGCGAAAGACTGGGATAAGTGTTCGGATTTCTCTAAGGCTAGGATACAAGTTCTGCTCGTACTTATACCTAGCCGGTCATCTAAAAATAGTTATCTAAAAAGACGGAAAGAAAAGGTAAAAGAAAATAAGTAGGGTGCACTCGAGGTGCTTTTGGTTTAGCCGATACAACGAGAGGGAAAAAGTAACGTCACGGTAACGCGATCCTCACATACGCCCTCCGGGACTTGCGACGCAAGTTCCTAGTCCTTGTTGCCAGCGTCGACGGCAGTCTTCTTGTTGAATTTTGGAAGCTGTGCAGCTGGGATTGCAGAAGTCGGCACCCCGCGAGAAGACTTCGAAGCACCTGACTCCTCGCCAGAGCTCGAACCAGAACCAGAGGTTCCCGAACCCGATACTGATCCTTCCACACCTCTTGAACCTCCCGCCTGAGAACCTGAGGCGCCCTCCACGTTGTGCCCGGTGCCCAGTGTCAAAGCCTCCCAATCCGCGTCGACAGGAACCCGGAGATAATCATCCTCCATTTCGACGTCTCCATCACCCTCGGAAGTCCTCTCACGCTGTCCGTCGAGTTTTCGCACCTTCTGAGCCCCTCGTTCTTCAGCATATTCGCCCTTCTCCTCCCTGCGACGTTTTCCAAACTCAGCGCCGCGCTGTCCCCTCAACGCCTCCTTGAACAGGAAATCATTCCACAACTTCTGACGCTCGGCATCGAGCAACACGCCCTTCGACTTCAGACTCTCCACATCGATAATCTCCTCGTCCGCTACACGGAATTCGTCTAGATTGCATGCCTTGCCCGACTTCTCGATCTTGCCATTTGGGAGCCGGTACGCGAACTTTTCCACGACCCCGGGAGCGGCGTTAAACATAACCCTCCAAGCGTCGTAGCCGAAGGGTATAGTGGACGGGGACTTGCCCGCGCGCAGGTTCTTGTCATGGACGAGATACGACCGGATTTGCCCCGCATGAAAGCCGAGGACAGGACTATTAGGCTTCGATGAGTCCTTAAAGGTGAAGTAACCGGCGTTGACCCGACGAAGGTTGGGGTGATTCATGAGCGCGCGCAAGGATAACGGAATATAGCGGGGTTTGGGCGAGGGATGGGTAATTGGCGTGTTACGTGGGTGGGTGGTGGCGATGGCGAATGGGCAGGGAGCCGGCGGATGAAGACAGGTGAAGCAGCGAGGACAGGGAGTAGTCGAAACTAACGAGGACCTTCTCCTGGTCCCAGGGCTTTTATACGGTGAGCCCATCCCGTATTTCAAATTCCCGACAAAAATTTGAGGATCATCTCTAGGTGGTTCGCTCTTGCCTTTCGGCAAATCGGAAATTTTGTCAACACCGAGGAGCTCGAGGTAAGGCCCCAACGCATTCAAATGCTCAATCTGATAGAACGGCAGCCAGGTCACATCGCCCGTTTTCCACAGAATTTCGAAAACGGCATCCTCTTTCGATCCTGCATGTCCGATAATTCGCTCGACGGCCCACTCGCTCTCTGTACCATCGGCATTGCCCAGTTGGGTGTCCAGCCGGCCAGGGAACAACCTATCATCGTTCGGGACGTGGATCCGCATCAAGGATGCATGGAACACATCATGGACCCCCCGTTGCTTCAGGTGAGCTGGTAGATCCACTCGAAATGACTGATTTTTGAAATCTTTCAACAGCTTGTACGGGCCGATGTACTTCGGGATCAACTTTCGTGCCAGCCCTTTTGCGAAGGAAATATTCTTCGTCGAAATATAGACGAAGTCGCCCTCCTCAAACGGCACCATCCGACGCTTCCTATTCGCATCCCGAACCTGCTTCACTCGTGCCGACAGGATACTATCGTGTGCCGCCATTACGGCCTGCTTGCGCGCCAATGCGAAATTTCGAATACCCGGGAACTCGCTCTGCTTAGCCGAATCCCAGATCATCGAACGCGGCATCCGACCTGTATTCAAGAAAAATGGTGCGTAGCCTGTCGTTGATGATCGTGCTGAATTAATTGCAAATTCAATTGCAGGAATTTTCGCAACCCAATTCTTTTGCTTTTGGTCA